CGAGCTCGTCGGACCAAAATCTCTCACACACAAACATGATTCTTCTTAAGTATTCATGTGAGGAGATATATGAGAGAATGGAAAATGGGCTGTGTATCTTTTGTGAAGAACACGATACCCCTGATCATCAGTTGAAGCACAAGAGATTCCGAATTGTGATGATAGAACGTGAAGATGATTTAGCTTCTGATGATGTAGAACAAGTTCATCAAATCCAGAAAGCTGTGAAGAATCCAAACCCGTTCGTGGAAGCTATGAAGACTTCAGATCCTTTAATCGAACCGTTGGAGTGTGCCTCAGTTCTACAGGTTCTAGGCTCCGTTTCTGATGTGTTGATGGTCAATAAAATGGATTCACATGTCAAGGAAGTGGAAGAATTACCTCAACAATCAACAATTGGTAATGGCAAAATCGATGCACACCAAGTGTTTGATAAAATCCCTCTTAGAGTAACAAGTAAGGAGAAACAGAGGAAGTATCTTAAGGGATGGAAATTCAAGTTCAAGGCCAATTCAAAGAGAGGAAAATCGATGAATGATAAGTTATCATTTGAGGATGAAACTGCTTTTCTTTGGGATTGTGTCTACAAAGAGTTCAAAGAGACTATGATGGCTCATGGGAAGAAACGAGTTGACCGATTTAAATTATTGCGAGCTGGTCGTGTATGGGAACCAGGCGGTCTGCAAGTCAAACTTGATCTATGGGACTGGCCAGAGACACAACCGAAGTCACGTGAAGAATTGCATCAGATTGAAACGTCTTTATACCATCAGGAAATGCTCTCACAATCTCAGGTACTCTCTTCCGTAGAACCTAGCCGTAGAAGTCACTATGAATCACTGGATGTTAGTGATGATCTTACAATTGTGAGGACACAAATATCACATTCACATTTTGCTCTCAAATGTGTTACTGGCAATCCACATCGAGGGTTTGATATAATACCATCGGGAATAAAACCATTAAGAAATTGGAGGAAGAAAACATTTCTAAAGACTTGGTGGTTCAAGTTCAAAACTAGTTCAGAGAGGAGCAAACTGATGGATGGTGAATTCTCTTATGTAGAGAAATCAAGTGAAAAGAATATCACAGAATTGGAAGCACAACAAGTTGATGGATTGAGCTTATTAAACTGCTTGGTTGCTCGTGATGTGTTGAAATTATGGGTCCGTTTGGATGCTTATAATAGGAGTTTGGAAGCAAAATTAGAGCTCTATCGCTGGGAATATAAGAAACAGCTAAATCAAGGTCATATTAGCTTGAATGGTTTGTGTAAAGAACTGGTTTATGGTATAGAGAAGAAGAAACTAATGAATGTTGAAAACGATGTTATGAAGGATAAGAAACTTGATCATAGCTTGATAGCTTTGGATCTCCAAGTCTGTTGTTGCATTGGAGATATGAGTAAGTGGTCTGAAGAGAAACTATCCGGAAAATTATCTCTAGCTAACTATGTTTGGAAGCCGGGTAAATTATTTTGTGTACAAGACCAATGGAATTGGGTAATTGAATCTCATAATGGTGGTAATGTGGTTAAATGGATGTACTGGTTTTTGTTTTTACAAATGCTTCAAGCTATCAAGAATACTGATTACGTTACTAAGAACACTTCACTTCTAGAAGACAATAAAAGTTTGGATCTTCATGGAGAACTCAAGCTAAGGATTTCTCTTGGTCATCTGATGAAGAAATACTGCAGCTTGTTGGAACAGTTGTGTTGCATGCGTAGTGAAAGAAAGAGAGCAGCTCATGTGGACAGTTTGGTTAAGGAGTTTAGAGTACTTTTAAGCTATGCTAAAGATTGGAGGAAGCTGCAGCAGTGGTCGTACCACAAGACGTGGGAATTCAAGTACATGCTTAAACTTTTGGCGAGAGCTCTGCTACAGAATGAACAACATAAACTCATGGCAGGAAGGAAAATTAAGTGTAAAATGAGAATTGAGGTAGGTATAGAGGCTCATAGGGTCTTATGGGTGAAAGAACAGAAGGTTGCAGGTGGTTTGATTACATATTTAGAATGGCAGGCTATGTATGAGTTGTCTCTGTTGTTGGGAGTGTTACAAGTTGTCAAGACTCGCAAGAATACTGCTTGTTTGATTAATATCGTTGCTCTAGATATCAAAGGAGAATCTGATCTCCATGGAACAATCAAAGGAGAGAAGTCTATGGGTTCTTTCACAAAGAAACAACGCAGCATGTGGAGTCATCTAATTGGGTTTTTGAATGGATCTGGAAGAATGTGTGATGATTATAAAGGGATCATCAAGCAAACCGTTGATGACAAGTACAACAGTCCTTTACTTAAGGACTTACTAGATGAGACCACTACCAACGAAGTCTTGCTTATCTACTTCATTGAATTTAGGAACTCTATCTCTCATGCAGGCCAAGCTAAGGAACCTAAAGCCTACTTTGATAAGGGGATAGCTAAACATCAGTTACATCACAACATCTCTGTCCTTAAAGCCCTTGTTCTATGGAAATGGTACCCTACTGTGAATTTCTCAAGCTTTAATTGGCAGTTTGGCAATCTTTCATCCTTGAGGACAAGGATGTTCTCGACAAGGGAGTATTGTAACAGGATAAACCGGTAACCGGTTTAGTTTTCTAATTTCCGGTTCACGTATCTTCTTTGGTCATTTGTTTAGACCACCAAACCATCGTGACTCTATATGTAAAGGGTTTTAGCTATTTTCTGATAATCAATCAAAAACACAAACTATCTTCTTCAATCTCCTTTATTTCTTTCGATCATCATCATCTTCCATTAACACTGAATCTTAGATCTTCGAGGTGATCCTTCACCTTCTGGGCTTTGATTTGCCAATCTCCGGGTTCTCGGTGAATCTCTGGATTGGATTTATCTTACCTTATTTTTACTGTTTCATTGAGTTATACCATGCCGGTGATATTAGAAAGCTACGGTAAATATTAATTTATCATAATTTATAAGTGTTATGTAACATCAAACATGCGTCGTCGTGTGAATCATATGTGTAAAATAACCTTTTTCGGAGAAACTTCACAAAGAATTTGTAAAACTGATGATAAGCCAAAGATATATATATATATATATATATATATGAAAAATCAAGGACAAAACTTTATTTCCCGTGTCTCTGGTGCACAAACAATAAGAAAACAAAACCTGTAAAAAAGGTCAAATATATCTAGAAAATATCCAGCGGGATCAAATTAACATAATCCTAGATTTGGTCCAACAAACCCTAGCTAAAGCAAAAAAAAAAAAAGTTGGTCTTTAACCTAATCCGGCTATAGTAGAAGGGAAGGGTAAGTTGCACCTGATTCGATTATAAAACCAACGTTCTTTGGATCGGTCTTAAACTTTATCTCAGCATTGCAGTTGGTGCACTGGATGTGAAACCTAAGGATTTTAATCCCAAGGTACGTCTCGCCAATGACTTGTTCTACACGGCTATTGAATTGGGTGCCGTTAGACATGATATGATCACATGTGTTGCATTGAAGCCTCATCGGAAGGTTTAAGTCGGCTCTGCGTTCTGCCATTGCTTCAGTAGTCAGAACTTACACGCGATCGAATGACTGCACACAGAATAAAAAAAAAAAGAAGGTATTTGCTCTGTCTTTCCCTTAAACCTATATTTATAAGAAAAAAACTCTTTGTGATTTCCTTTTGTGGGCCCAATAAATTGGACTTTTTCCTTTTTATATTAGTTTTACATCTATAATTTTTGTGAAAAAAGGGGAAAGTTTGGAGAAAGTAATTCTTAATTCTTGTATTAATTAAGATGCATGCTTTAATTAGGATATAATCTGACTTCACAATCCTTATCACAAATCCTAAACTTATGTTTAAATAAAAATATAGAATAACAATATTTTTAAAATGTCCATATTCAAATTCGGAGTTGGTGATCTGAGATCTCAAGGTTTGAGAATATAATTCAGGATACGTCTAACTAGAAAAACCATTTGAAAAACTATGTCTTTTGTTCTAAGCCAACAAGTTAGAGATGTAAAGACGGTTCCTTACCAGGAGTCAATCCCACAAGAATCCTAGCTTGTGTGAGACCTTTCTTAGAAATTTGTCTAAAAATCTTAATGTGTGGAAGGCCTGAGATTAATGTGTGGCTTCATGTCCGTTTGTTCTTGTTTCAATTGCTAAGTGATGTGGGATCATTAAGCTCACAGTTCCCCAATTTTCAGAAAAAATAGTTGGGAGCTCTGATCTTTTTGTGGTAGCTAGTTTTGTCTGTAGAGATATGAGTCAGAGAGGCCAAGTTCTTGTGTTATGTTAGACTTTTCTTGGAGATATTGTCTGAAATGTGAAATTTTTTGCAATAAGAATGTGTTGAGATGTAAATGACGAAGACTAGTGAATTTTCCTTTGTTCTTGTCTCACTTGCTAAGTCCTATGGTATGCTAAGTTCACAGTTCCCAAATTTCAGACAAATAGTTGGGAACTCTGATCCTTGTATCTAGTTTTGTCTGTAGAGAAGTGAATCAGAGATATCAATGTCAGTTCTTGTGTTATGTGAGACTATTCTTGGAAATATATTATTGTCTGAAAGTTTAGTAATTACAAGTAATGTGTTGAGATGTGAATGAGGAAGACTGGAGAATTTTCCTTTTTTCTTGTCTAACTTGTTACCTTCTTGTTGTATCTGGTTTTGTCTGTAGAGATGTCATCGTCAGTTCTTGTGTGTTGTGTGAGAGTTTTTCTTAGAAATTTATATGAAATCTGAAAGTTGTTTAGCAATGAAAATGTGTTGAGATGTGAATGAGGAAGGCCTGAGATTAATCTGTTTCTCATATATTCAAACAGGAAAATTTTAAAATTTCCTCTCTTCTCTTGTTCTATCTAAAGATGTTCTTAAGCAACAATACAAAAGAAACTCTCTTTGGTGTTACTCTGATTCAACCTGAAGACTTCCTACAGAAATCAGAAAGTCAAAAAGACCAAGAAGAAGAATAAGAAGTGAAGAACCTCATATATTTTTGATATTTAACAAGCAGTTATTGAATATGTCATTTTATCTCATTTGACTGCAAAGAATCATGACTCCGAAGGAAAGATTGAAAGAGATTCATATAAACTGTGGCCAACAAAGCAAGAACCGTCAAATATAACAAAGCCATTTTAGAAAAAGTCTAAACTCTCTGACAGACTCAAAAGGAACCTGAAAGTAACTCTTCTCACTTGGTATATATACCACAAAGAATCAAGTACTGTATCAAACAATGGCAACATCAGATAACAAGAAACACACTCTTCAAGAAACTTTTATCATGTGTGACATCAATAGACAATAAGGCTTCCCAAGTCTGATTCAAAAAGATAAATCAAGCTGCTAAAAAAGACATGTTCAGCACTTTAAACCTATGAATCAACTAGCCAACAATGATTCACAAAGCAGATCATTCTAAAACGATTCTGTAGGTAGGTGAACAAAAACGAATGTCCACAAAGATCACAAGAAAGTAAGTATGTTGTAGCAATGAATCACAAGAGCAAAGGAAAATTAACCAGTAAACAAAGTAAGGAAAAATACACCAATGTTGAAAGTTTATTGCAACTTTCAATATGATCATAAACAATCTTTCTAATATAGGTCTGAACAGAAACACAGAGAAGAAGATATTACCTTATTAGCCCACTGAAACTTTGACTTGCCAAGCAATAATACCTCTCTTCCTTCCCGACAGAACCTCCTTTCTGTTGATAACCTGCATCAGAATTGTCAACTTGACAAATCTATTACAGTAACTCTTTCTTTATTCATTTTTTTCAAATCCCAAACTACATCTTGATTAATGTGTCTTATACATCCGATTTGCAGACAAGCCATAAAACTCCAATCCAGTTTACTATTCATAAACTGTAAAATCACTATATATCTATGGACAATTACTATATATCACTATATATGTAGACTTCTTTTCTCCTTCTTCTCTTCTCCAAACTCTGTTCCTTCTTCTCAATCTCCTTCTAGTACTCCATTTCTCCTATTTTTCTGTAAAAAAAGATTCAGAATTAGTTACACAATTGAAGAAGATAAATCCAATTTTAAAGGGAAAGTTAGTCTCACCTCATACTCATAGGAACGGGAACAAGACTTGGTAAGTATACGCAGTTGAGCGAAGGGGTTTTGTGTTTATACGTTTCAGTGTAAATTTGTTGAATCCCATCTTGGGCAATGATTAATACCTTGATATGAGCAGTTCCTTCTTCAACTAATTCTTCACAGAACATGACTATCTTCTTCTCGGTTATAAAGAAACTTGGAACAGGATATAAGATCTGCTGATTATGTCCTGTCACCACAAATTGTTTTCCCCAAACTATCGATCGATCCTGAACAATAATCCCATTCCAAACATCAATACTGAGATCTTGATGTCGTTGGCATAGCAGCGAAAGACCTTCTCTTCTAAAGGAAGATAAAACCAATGTCTTTGTGCCTTTGACTTGTTGTAATGGAAGTTTAAGTGGCTTGAACTCTTCGGTTGAAAAGTTGTAACTTTGGACAAAGAGTTTTCCATCCGAAGAAGCAATCCAGTATGAATTTCCACCAACCGAGACTATCATTGGTGGTTGTCTAGTGAACTCCCAATTGTCTTGAATATCTGAAAGTCTCCAACTGTTTGTTGTCATATGGAAGATCTCAGCCACTGCCGCATAAGACTCACAGTCACAGTCATAAGCCCCAAAATTAAATCTCAGAACTTTGTATTCGTTCTTACTGTCATGTCCAAGACAAAAAAAATCGTACACGGACAGATTCTCCTTATCAATCCATCGGGTTTGACTACCGTTCAGAACCACTATTCTACGTGGTGATATGGTGCTGCAGAGAATCAATCCCTCGCACTGCACCATACTTTTAATCACCTCATCACTACCAAAATCACGGATTTGGAAAGCTCCAGACTTCACCACCCATATCTCAGACTTCCTTGAATGAAGAAACTGATATTGACTGTTTACCAATTGTTTGTAGATAAATCTATGTCCACTGAAAAGAGAGCCCCATTCTTTGCAGGTTAAGTTGAAGCGCGCAAGAGATTTGACTGGAAGCTTGAGGAGAATTTCCTCAACCAGATCATATGGTAGATTGGCTGCAAGTTTTGGTAAGCTCTTGTCTCTGTTTGCTGCACGTGTTTTGTCAACAATATTATCCATCTGTTCATCGCCCATTTGCTGATTTCTTAGACTCTGTAAGAATCACACAAAAACGATTAGAGAATAATCATTGGTTTAGAGTTAAACATGGCCAAGAAAAATCAATGATCAAGTGACGAAACCAAAAAACATCTCTAATTCGAAAGAGATACAGCCTTTTTCTATCTACCTAAAGCTTCCAGTTTCCAAGTTCCTTTTACTAGCAGCTGATTGCTTCTCAAGATCAACTATGTCTTCAAATAACAAAAAAGTAATGCCAAGTTGAAATTGAGATTGAGAGATTCAAGAATTTAAGCTTGTGAGTAAGAAAACAGATAAAGCCAAGCCAAAAGACATTCATTATAGAATGTTAACTAACTCCTTATGTAAAACTATGATCCACATTGCCTGCTCCTATTTTGAGCCAAAATTTTAGCAAACACAGTTCAAGTAAACAAGCAAGACCATAGTAAGAAAGTGCAGGGGAAGAGAAGGTTGCATACATCCGAATTGAAGAGTTTAAGGCAAGCAATTGCTTTTTCTCTGGTCTCTCCACCAGCCGCATTGCATAATGAAGAGATGAGTTTATTATTCAGTTGAGACGGTTGCTCTGGCAAGGTTTTGCTGTGGCAAGCCTCCATAGCAGCATCCAAATTCCACTTGAACCCCTCAAGGTAAAAGAGTGCTTCTTCCCGAGACACTTTGGTTTCATAGCAGATTCGATTAACCCAAGTATCCTTCCGCGGCCAAATATTTGTACTTTCCTGGATGTTTTGAATCTGAATGGAGAAATGCAAGCAGTGAGTATGCATCAACATGGAGTTCCAATCTTTTTCAAACAATCTTAAGAACAAAACAGACAAGGCCAATCCAAAGAAAGACCATCAATAGATAAAACTAAGATTCCCATTCTTCACTGCCAGGTTCTAATTTGAGCTTAGCTTTTAGCAAACACATTTCGAGGATATAGCAAAGACTTATAGCCGCCATATAGTGCAGAGAAAGAGAAGACTACACAACCTGAACTTGAGATGACGCCATTAGAGGTAAAGCTTCAGGGATCTGTTCTTCACCAGCTTCTTTGAGTGACTCTGCCGGGTCAACCTCCATCGGACTGTGAATGTAACCAAATGGTGAAAAAGAATCAGATATATGGAAGTTGTCAGAGAGACTCATACTAAACATAATCTAGAAACCAACATCTTACAAAGATATGAGGAGTGTATATCGACCAAGAAATGACTAACAAAGAAGTTGTTTCAGAGATAAGTATGTCATACCTTTGTCTCATGTAGCAAGCAACAAGCTATGGCTTTGTGTCAAAAGTTTCTGTAGCTGTAAGAATTACACACACAGATTAGAGAATATAATTACGGTTTAATGATGGGTTAGAGAATAAATTCTAATAAAGTAAACACTTATCTCTGGTTTAATGACGATTAACACTTATAAAACTAAACCAAAACATCTCTTAACCAAAATTTGTAGAACCAGAAGTAGAAAGTTGGAAACTGTAAACACCAACATGGAAAGAAAATTCAACGATCAACTGGCAAAACCAAAAAACATGTCTGGTTCGAGAGAGATACAGACATTTCTATCTAACCTAAACGCAAAGAAAGTTCAAGATTCCAAGTTCTTTAAACAAGCAGCTGATTGCTTCAATTACGCTAAAAGAAAAAAAAGACTTTAACATATATGCGAAGTTGAAATTGAGATTGAGGGATTCAAGAATTTAAGCTTTTGAGTAAGATGATAAATGGGTCTAACTAAAATCAAGAGAAAAACAAGAAATTTCACAAAAGAAATCAACCCATTTACTCGGCGAGACAAGTTTCAGAACCAAAATTGTCGAACCAAGAAGAGTCCGAAAACCCAATTTTCAAAGATCAAGAAAGGTCACTAAAACCAACACATTTACTCGTCGAGAGAAGCATAGCTTAAAGAACTTCGCATTTCACTACCCAAAAAGTGGGAAGAAGTTGATCAGAAAGAACCCTTAAAGCCCTTCACTTTTGAAATCAATTCAGAAAAACGAAAAAGAAAACAAAAGAACAATCTTTCGGATTAGAATGAGAATTGAGAAGAAGAGATTAACCTCAAAACGCAAAAAAAGGTAATTGATTTCAGTTTTCCCTCTCGGTTGCGAGTTCAAGATTTGTTTCGTAAGGTAGGGTTTCGAAACACCAACGTCAACATTTATAATATATAGACCAAGTTTAGTTTCCAAACGAGCGATGTGGGACTTATTTGGCTATGCAAAATAGACATGCAATTGAGGACTCAACGGGCCAAGGCCCATTTATATATTTTAAGCCCAACCCTAACTTTTTTGCTTCATATTTCAATCTCGATATGTGACGTGACAACTGACACGCAAGCAAAAAGCATCAGCTTGTTTTTTTTTATGTAACGTCGTCACTCATGCCCTTTTAATTAGAAAGGCAAAAAAAAAAAAAACATATACTCAAATTTGAGAAAAAAAAGACCCAAAAAACTATCATCTAATTTTATTTGACCATTTAATACCTAATTTTGTGTATATATTTTTTAGGTCTATTTTTTATCTGACCGTTTGAATTATTGGTAAATTATCATTATATAATTCAAAAACATATACACACTCCCTAATTTGAATTTGAGTTATACCATGCCGGTGGTATTAGAAAGCTACGGTAAATATTGGTTTATCATAATTTATATGTGTTATGAAACATCAAACATGCGTCGTCGTGTGAATCATATATTCATATGTGTAAAATAATCTTTTCGGAGAAACCTCACAAAAAATTTGTAAAAGTGATGATAAGCCAAAGATATATATATGAAAAATCAAGGACAAAACTTTATTTCCCGTGTCTCTGTTGCACAAAACAAAAAATGAGAAAACAAAACCTGTGAAAAAGGTAAAATATATGTAGAAATTAAATATTCAGCGGGATCAAATTAACATAATCCTAGATTTGGTCCAGCAAACCCTAGCTAGAGCAAAAAAAAAAAAAAAAAAAATTGGTCTTTAACCTAATCCGGCTATAGTAGAAGGGTAGGGTAAATTGCACCTGATTCGATTATAAAACCAGCGTTCTTTGGATCGGTCTTAAACTTTATCTCAGCAGTGCAGTTGGTGCACTGGATGTGAAACCTAAAAATTTTAATCCCAAGGTATGTCTCCCCAATGACTTGTTCTACACGGCTATTGAATTGGGTGCCGTTAGACATGATATGATCACATGTGTTGCATTGAAGACTCATCGGAAGGCTTAAGTCGGCTCTGCGTTCTGCCATAACTTCAGAAGTCAGAACTTACACGCGATCGAATGACTGCACACAGAGGAAAAAAAAAGGTATTTGCTCTGTCTTTCCCTTAGACCTATATTTATAAGAAAAAAACTCTTGTGATTTCTTTTTGTCGGCCCAATAAATTAGACTTTTTCTTTTTTATATTAGTTTTACATCTATATAATTTTTGTTAAAAAAAAGGGAAAGTTTGGAGAAAGTAGTCCTTGTATTAATCGTATACTACTACAATTTATATAATAAGATGCACGCTTTAATTAGGATATAATCTGACTACACAATCCTTATCACAAATCCTAAACTTAAAACTAAATAAAAATACATATTTATCTGAAAGTTAAAAAAAATTTTAAAAAAAACAGAAATTTGCTAATCATATCCCAATTCAAAGCTCTAGTCTATTTAAAGTTTAGGTCGTAAGAACATTCACTTTTTTTTTTTTTTGAAGTAATGGTTAGGAAAAACAAAAAATTGGGTTATTGTTTTGATAGTTATGGAGGATGGATCAAATTGGAGCATGGGACAGAGACAATTGTTCTGTTTAGGCAGAGCAGTTTTGAGAAGAAGCAGAGTTATTGGTCCGGAGAGTATTTGCCAATTGCATCGTCATAACCGTCACTCACCACCGTATTCCCACCGTTAATTATGGACTGTACAATAATGGCTGTCTCCATCAGCGACGGTGAGTGTTGCATCATCTTAATATTTTCTACTCTGAATCTGTTTGATGTGTTTCTGATTGAATATTTATGATAAATTGTGGAGAGTTCTTTGACAAAAAAAATAAATAAATAAATTGTGGAGTATCACGTACGATGAGTTGATGAATGATGAAAACTCTTTGTTTTGCAAAACTTGTGAAAGAGTATTGGTCTCGTTACGACTCACGTTGCTGATATAGCAAAAATAACTTTTATTTTGAAAATACTAGTATTACATATTTTTATTTGAAAATGTGTTACATACTTTTATTTGAAAATAGTGTATATTGGTCTCATTACAATTTTCTGAAAAATTGTACTTGTTTGATAGTATTATACTCTTGAATAACATAAGATATCTCTGATGATACGATTTATTCATTATATCCTTGTGTGCACTTCATTTTAGCAATTTCTTCTTGGTTGATATTGTTTTGATAAATCTCCTTGGATGATAATTGATAAGAGATGTCCACTCTCTGCATTCACTGTATAATTGGCTTCACCATGTCTTGTGTAAGGAAACGATTAACCGCAGACACGGAACTAGCTTCAACAGAACCACCTACGAACCCATTCATTGGTCTACTTTTTGGAGACGAGCCGGAGGATTGAGATAGCTCTTACAGTCTCTTTCGCTTAAACGTGTTTAGTACGAGTTCTCGGAGGAAGATATCACAAACAAGAGCTCTTTGTTGCTTCAATTTGAACCCGGTTTTGTAAGTTGATTCCGGTTCTTGTTCAGAATTTGTTGGGAAATGATGTTATCAAGAAATGTATTCCTCCTGAAGATGAGCATCTCCAGTAAATCAGAGCTCGTATGGAGAAGCTCAATATCAAATCTGCTTGATAAGGATTATAGAAGTTTTAATTCTCAAAGTATGTCTCTTTTGTTCTTGTCTCAATTGCTAAGTTCTGTGAGATCATTAAGCTGAAAGTTCTTGAATTTCAGACAAATAGTTGGGAAGTGTGAGGTTGTTGTATTATTGTGTGCAAGAGTTGTGAATAAGAGATGTCATTGTCAGTTCTTGTGTTGTGTTAGACTTTTCTTAGAAATTTGTCTGACAATCTGAAAGTTTGGTAATTAGATTGTGTTGAGACTTGAGATGTGAATGAGGTATGGCCTGAGAGTAGTGTGTGGTTTCATGTCCCTTTGTTCTTGTTCAATTGCTAAGTCCTATGGGATCATTAAGCTCACAGGTCTCAAATTTCAGACAAGTAGTTTGGAACTCTAAGCTTCTTGTTGTATATGGTATTGTCTGTAGAGAGAGATGTCATTATCAGTTCTTGTGTTGTGTGTGAGACTTTTTTCTTAGAAATTGGTCTCAAATCTGAAAGTTTAGCAATTAGAATGTGAATGAAGAAGATCTTCTGTATAATTTTCTGTAAGAGATGTGAATCAGAGATGTCTTTGTCAGTTCTTGTGTTGTTGTGAGACTTTTCTTGGAGATATTGTCTGAAATAATCAGATATATAAGTAAAATATTCTTAGATCTTTTTAAGCTTTTGAATTAAACAGAAGGTCTTGTTCTTTGGTGAAGCAACGACCAAAGCAATTTGTTAAGCAACGACCAAAGCAATTTGAGTGTAACAGGATAAACCGGTAACCGGTTTAGTTTTCTAATTTCCGGTTCACGTATCTTCTTTGGTCATTTGTTTAGACCACCAAACCATCGTGACTCTATATGTAAAGGGTTTTAGCTATTTTCTGATAATCAATCAAAAACACAAACTATCTTCTTCAATCTCCTTTATTTCTTTCGATCATCATCATCTTCCATTAACACTGAATCTTAGATCTTCGAGGTGCACTGGATGTGAAACCTAAGGATTTTAATCCCAAGGTACGTCTCGCCAATGACTTGTTCTACACGGCTATTGAATTGGGTGCCGTTAGACATGATATGATCACATGTGTTGCATTGAAGCCTCATCGGAAGGTTTAAGTCGGCTCTGCGTTCTGCCATAGCTTCAGTAGTCAGAACTTACACGCGATCGAATGACTGCACACAGAAGAAAAAAAAGAAGAAAAAAAGAAGGTATTTGCTCCCGTCTTTCCCTTAGACCTATATTTATAAGAAAAAAAAACTCTTCGTGATTTCCTTTTGTCGGCCCAATCATTAAATTTAGACTTTTTCCTTTTTATATTGGGATTATTGTCTAAAATGCCATTTTTTTGGAAAAACTTACGAAAATGCCATTTTTTGACTAGTTTACGGATTTTGCCCTTTTTTAACACTTAAAAATATACGTATTTATAATTTTTTTTGCAAAAATACGTACTTTATACCAAATACTAAACCCTAAGAACAAATAGAACCGACTAAACCCAAACATAACGAGTGAAACGCATGTTAAATCATATTTTTGGAGCTTGAAAAATGGCAAAATCCACAAACTATTCAAAAAATGGCAAAATCCACAAATGCCACTATAAAAAGGGCAAAATCCGTAATTAATTCTTTTATATTAGTTTTACATCTATAATTTTTGTGAAAAAAGGGAAAGTTTGGAGAAAGTAGTCCTTCTATTAATCGTATACTACTACAATTTTTATATAATATAAGATGCACGCTTTAATTAGGATATAATCTGCCTACACAATCCTTATCACAAATCGTAAACTTAAACTTAATTAAAATACATAGTTATCTGAAAGTTGTAGAAGATTCTAGAATAACAATATTTTTTAAATGTCCATATTCAAAATCGGAGTTGGTGATCTGAGATCTCAAGGTTTGAGAATATAATTCAGGATACGTCTAACTAGAAAAACCATTTGAAAAACTATGTATCTTATGAAGAATATATAGTTGAGATATAAATTTTCTCATGCTCGACGACACACCAGGCTTAACTCCAGTGAAAAGCATTACATGATAATCAGTAAATTTCTCATTTAAATGTTGGAGAAAAAAACAAAACAAATATATTGTGCTACTATTTTTTTTATCAGAAAAACAAATATATTATGGAAAAAAACATTATTCAAAGCTCTAGAGCCTCTAGTCTATTTAAAAGTTTAGGTCATAAGAACATTAACTTCTTTTTTTTTTAAGTAATGGTTAGGAAAAACAAAATTGGGTTATTGTTTTGATAGTTATGGAGGATGGATCAAATTGGAGCATGGGACAGAGACAATTGTTCTGTTTAGGCAGAGCAGTTTTGAGAAGAAACAGAGTTATTGGTCCGGGGAGTGTTTGCCAATTGCATTGAGAAGAATTACAAAATTCTTCATGAATTGACTCGTCAAGGATCCTGCAATTTCAACACAAAAATCTTGACTAGAGATTATGAAGATACTTGCAGGCAAAGAAACACTGAAATTATACAGTAAACAAACACTGAAATCATTACAGTAAATGAAATAAAACATGGAACCAAAGCTAGTTAAATTGTTTTGTCATCTTAATCAAGCCGATCTGATTCTCTCTGCCATATTGTTCATGTGTATAATATGTTTCTCTCTTGGAGGAATACAATCAACAATGATCTCAACCTCCTTCAGCTTCTTCACCCATTTGTTGTATTCTGGAAACTTTTTCTCTGTAATCATCTCCACTCCCATTCCTTCCCAAGCCCTCTCCAAACAAAATGGGATCATACTTCCGGCTGCAAAGTCCAAGAATCCGACTGTCTTGCCGCCAAAGTAATCTTTCCCGGCGAGTTCTTTTTCGAGACATACAATCAATTCTCTTGTCTGCTCGATCAGAACCTCTCTTCCTTTCTCTGTTTTGGCCAGTGAGGTAAACCCGACATTTACTATCTACAATATTAGAGACAATTAACACGGTTTAGTAAAGCATTAAAAATGATAAGTAGCATTGATTAATCCGCTAATCTGATTAATATAGAGTTCTTGACTTCAACTGTTTAAAGTATTGAGCTCTTAGAAAGCTGGTTAACACATGCGAAATAGATTAATGATCAAATTCTGTTTTATTTATTATTTCTTGATCTACGATTGATTAACTAAATTCCACAATTCATAATCACAACAAGATTTTTCAGATGATAAAAAGAAAAAAAAAAAAGAGAAGAAATTAGTAAAAATGACTACTTCCATATACTAAATGATTAAAAAAGATTGAAAGTAATAAGAGAATGTACCTGTTCATCAACGAGTTTTGCTAAGAATCGAGCCTTGGATCTTTGGAAAGGATCCTGAGGAAGAATGGGATTGTGTTTCCAAGTCTCATCGATGTATTCGAGGATCACATGCGACTCGATAATGGTTTTACCATTGTGAACAAGAACAGGGATCTTCTTGTGAATAGGGCTTAGAGCAAGAAGCAAAGAGCTCTTATTCTCCAGATCTTCCTCCAAGTATTCGTACGGTACACCTTTCAGTT